ACACACATCCTTCTCCTTGTCTCTCTCCCTCCACACATATACATATAGATAGAAAGCTTTCAAAAAGCTTTCCTCAAGGCTGACTCCTCTAAGCAAGGTCAGAGTAGACATGCCATCCAGCCAAAATAAAGGAGACCTGTTCTTAACCCAAGAGGTAATGGGGAAAAGACAGTCTTCTCGGCAGCAAGATGAGCTATGTACTTAAATGGGCTCTAAAACTCAAGACAGGGAAGTCAGAGAAATCATCTTAAACCTCTGACATAAATATGACAAACCACCTTTGGAAGGAAAAATCCATACAGCAAGGAAACAAACAAACTTGGAAGAAACTGAAACAACTGGACTTTCCCCAAATTTTATAGCAGAAACTGAAACATCCAGGGGTTACTGTGCTGCAGATCATTGGAAACTGCATATATTGAAGGATAGCAGAAATTGATATTTCTAGCCAGTGTCCAAATCCAAAGTTACTGGTCAGTGGTATTAAGGAGATGTCTGTTAACACTGATGAGCTTTCTGATAGATAAGGGACTATCTATGAGATGCCATCTATTGATTATGCATGAAACCGATATATGCAGACAGGACCATCTGAGTATCAGGAAGGGAAGAATTTGTCCCACCAGGGCAAGTAAACTGTATCTTAGATCAATGACTTTATATTTTTGAGTTTGTTCCCACCAGCAAGCCAGACAGAGAGGTAACCAACAGAAGCTGCAAAAACTACCAAACCAAAAGATGCTCCTGACAGGAATGTTGCCCTAACAAATGATCCGGGGAAAGACAACATTTCCACAGAGTGCAGAAGATGGTCTCTTCTTTTAATCTGTGCCTCCAACAGGTTTAAGTTTTTTCAGTATTAGGAGAAAGCATGTTATTTGAATTTTTGTTTCAGGTAAATCCTAGCTCTAGAGTTTGAAAGTTGTGATTATCTGTTGACATCCTTACTTAAAGGAAAAACCAAGAGAATGGAGATTATGAACCTTTTGCAAAAGATCCTTTAAAGATTTCAGTTTCAAAATATGGGGTACTCTGCTTTCTGCTTGTTTCCTTTTGCTTTCATTTTTCTTTGTTGCTGGTTGCTATAGTCCTTACAAACTCACAGCAGTATCAAGATGCTGCAGAGACTTAGGAAGGGAAAAAATGTGCTGCAGCAGAAGCAGTGCGCTGCTGTAACTTCTGCTCCTAACTTGAAGGCATGCTGAGGGCCTAATCCTGCCCTGCATCTTAAAGCCATTTGTGGGATAAAATGGCTATAAGTCCTAAGGTGCTATAATTGTAGAGATAAAAATACAAAGCCAATAATACTTTGATAACACAGCAAAGAAAAATCTAACAGATAAAGATTAAATGGGTGAGTACCAATTAGTGATTTAGAACTAGCTACTGATTCTTCTAGATGTGAGCCAGTTTTCTAAACCCAGTGTCACATATTGCTCTATCTTTCCCTTAGAGATTTTACAGCTAAAGATGATAAAGCAGTACTTCAGTGAAATAGAAACATCTTACATAAGAAAGAAACATTTTCAGGGATTTTGCATAATGTCCAGATCAAAACTCCCTGCAGGCCAAAAGTAAACCTACAGGTTCTGTTTCTTAAAAAAAATTGCAATTGATATTTGAATAGAAATTCTCAGATTCGTATCTCCAACTATAAGAGCTGAAATCTCATGACAAGACACTGGGATTAACTAACATAGCTACGAGCTAGAGCGAGCAACCTCATCCACATGAGTGGAGCAGAACCAGTGTAAAGCCTGGTGTAACAGACCGCTAGGCAAGTTATTTATTGCATGAACACAGTCTATTCATTACACTTGTAATGAGATTTCTACTGTCACTTCAGACTAATTGTTTTAACTTTACAGTTGCCTCCCATACTGTTTGGAAAAAGAAGAAAAAGAAATGGAGAAGAATCAAAAGCCAAGCAACTCAACATGACTATGTAAATTCTCATCACTACCTGTTCTGAAGAATGTGTTTATAATACTCTATCACTACAGGAATGACAACTGTTGGTGGCTGCATGTTAGCCAGCAAGACAGTGACAGTTCAACCTCTTCTAAGGACTCACTGGAACGTGGCAGTGCTCTTAGGTGGGCACAATACTCGGTAGTCATGACTTTGATCAACATGTTAAGCAGTATCTTCTCTATAAGTCAAAGATAAATGGGAGTTATTTGGCTAATAAATATTGAAATGATAGCTACATTTCCACATACCAAATCAAAAAGAAGAAGTATCTAAAAGCCAGCATCTTCTGTTGTGTCTAGTAAAGTGTTCATGTCCAATGCTACAGTTAAACTTGGTCATCTCTTCAGGAATTTCTGTCACAACTTTCTGTGTCACGTATACAAACTCTTTGCTATTTTGTGCATAATTGGAGTTGTTCCTAATATTCATTATAAGTAAGTTGCATTGCCTTTTCAAATTAATGTATCCTGTTCCCATACTGTAGGTACAACGGATATTCAAAACTCCCAAGTCACACTTAGCAAGTATCCCCTGAGGCTCTGAAGAGGAATAGAGCAAATTCTTTAGTCTCTGAAATTTACCCACACATTTATTTTTATAAAGATAAGGAAATTCTGAAAAGCAGATACACCTCCCTTGACCAGGGTCTGCTTCCCAGAGCTGGAAACTGTCCCTCTACATGCCCAGAATTACAGAATATGGCCAGAGTGGTTCCCTGCAGAGCCAAGCATTTGCCTACTGTCATTCTGGCACTAAAAAAACACAAATCAGTGGATCGGTCCTTTTCAAACATTAAGTATTTACAGATTTAGGGCACAAATGTATTTAGTATTTTCCAGCAGAAATTCTGTTTCTGCTGTTCTGATACAGCCCAGCAACCAGCTGCGCTGGACTGCTGGGGAAAATCACACGTGCCTGCAGTCTGCCTACGGACTATAATGGTTCACGGTATAATATAGATAGCTTTAAGGAAACTCTAGCTTACAGAAAGAAATTACACAGATGTATCTTGAAAATTCCTCCAGAAGGAAGACTCATCCGCCAATATATATAAGCTGATTTCTTGTACCATAGGAAACAACCTCAAGGCTCCAGACTTAGCAATTTGCATTTAAATTTAAATCAGTAAAAAAAATTACTGCATAAATTGGATTTTTAGGCTTAGTTTATGGTAAGAAAACTGTTCTAGCCAGAGCAAGTTGTATTTTTCTTAGAAATGTAGCAATTCGTGCTATTATTTATGCTCACATTCAAATATATTTTAGGTTTTACCAGTAGTGAAACCAAGACTGTCCTCTCTGAAATGCTAATTGTAACTATAACCCATCACATGATCACTCTCAGCCCCTTTTGCTTGGAACTCGGAACAGTGATGAACACAGATCAGATAATTTCTATCTCTCACTGTAATTACACAGGGATTTTGTTTTCCTTTCAGCCAGTAATGTCTAAATTGGATTAAGATAACAGTCACTTATGAGGCCCCCTCTACAGCAGTTGCTTTCAACACTGCTGTATTAATGCTATTTTACTCTAGAACTTAATTTTTTACACGATTCCCATGAGTTTCCATGAAGCTCATACTTAACTTGAGATTATGCATAAGGACTAAATGCTCTACAAACAGGGGAAAAAATACCTTGAATTTTGTTTTTCCTAACATACTCATGGTGAATGTAATAACCGGCATGCTGGCACTGTTCATTATGATCAGATGAAATTCTAATCATATGATAAGAAAAGTGATGGATCTCAAAATCAGAGGACTTAAGTCTATTACTTATGTGCGTTTAAACATCATCAGCTGGTAACAAGCCCTTCACACTCCCCTGTCTGAGCAATTGCAACTCTTGGCAGTAATAATCTGAGTGGGTGGCTGAGAATGGAGCTGGCAGATGCAATACTGATGCAAATTACATCTACTTAGCAGCACATGCATTCATTCATCCATCCAGCGAGTCATTTTTTATCATTCCAGGAATAAGCCAAAAGTCATAAAATATTTTACTTGTCAATATCTAAAAATAAAATCTGCAGTGTATTCAATGTTTATTATCATAAAATAGTGTTAAACAGGTAACTGAGGTGTCAGTATGCCCAATGTCATAAAGAAAGCTCTGAAAAAATGGAATACATTCCATGTGCCTAATTTGTCTGGTTTGTGGGTTGTTGGGTTTTTTTTCAGTGTTATCCTTGGAGACTTCATAATGCATGTGTGACTGCTTATATGCACCACCAAGACCAAAGAATGCCAATCATAAAATCTTGATTAGTCTTCCCTTTATTCTGGCCTATTATTGCTTTAATTATTTTAGCTACTGAGATAAATGACAGAGGTGACAGAAAGGGAAGCTGAGTAAGGCACAACACTACTAAAGACAATATACCGTCCAGTGAAATCAGCAGTCATTATTTCTGTGTTAACCATAACACTGCTCTTCTACAGACTGTAAAGTAAGATACTGCAATCCAATCACTACTTGTTCACTGGGTCAGATACATGTGAGGCTGCCTTACTTACAAACACTTACCTTAGGTTCATTGACCATACAGTGATTTCAAACACTTTTTTTTGTTTTTCTTTTATCTCTAGTGCATTTTTACACACATTTAAGCAGAACATTAACCTTGCTATTTTTTTTTTTAGAATTATGCCCTGAATAAATACCCCATCTTTTTTTTTTTTTTTTTAAAGTCCCACAGCAGTAATGTATACGAGCTATACTTCCCCAGCAGAAACAGACTCCTCTCAGAACAAATTAACTTTAAGCTGGTTCCAATTTTAGGCAAGTTAAAGTAAGACTGGTAATACAGTAACTGTGGAGGTCTACAACTGTATGGGAAGCAAATATCGTGCAGCAATATTTAAGCAACTGATGAAATTGAAAAAAACAAACTAGCCTTGTAGTCAGTGTATTAATTGGGTCCATTAATTGAGTCATTAATAAGTATACAGACAATCTAAATGTAACAGCTAAAGCGCAAGTATTTTGACACTAATTGCAATCAGAATCCAGGCACAGTACCTTAGCTTTATCCCTCATGGATCCTTTCCCGAGAATGGACATTTTTGCACCTGTTTCTTCTTGTAACCTCTTCAAGGAGTTCCCTCTTGGTCCAAGCAATTTCCCAACAAAATTGAACTAGAAAGCAAATAGTAAAACTATTTCAGACCAAGAGGTACGCTTTCAAAAACTTCATAAAATTTTGTAAACAGTCTGCTTAAAGCTTATATAGTTCTGAGCCTAATTCATTAAGGTACAAGTCTGGAGAACCAATGTATCCTCTCATCTAGTGCAAAAGGCAGTAAAAACATTCATGGTTTATTTGAGTCCCAGGAGGCTTCTCTCTAGGACAGAAAGGGCCAGTGGCTGTTCAGGTTTAGCAAACTGCTAAAGCAGATCTTTGCTTATCTAACAATATTGGTAAACCCCACAGAATATATATATATGCTGTTTCCTGAGTTAGCCAGCTTTATTGGCAAAGTAATATGTTCTGCAAAGTTAGAGCTCTAGATAGATTTTTAGGAATTGATGTTTTGCATATTGATTTTAAAATAAGTGTATCATCTTCAAATAACTGTTTCTCCAGCAACAGAACACAAACAACAGATAGCGGTAGATATTCCAGGCTATTTTCTGAGCAGATTTTAGAGAACACTGAGCTTTGTCTGCCATGCTGCCAATATTCTTGAACCCAGAACAGTTCATGTAACATATACAACAATGGGGTTTTTCCATATGAAGAGGACAGATTTCTACATGAAAATCCGAAGACAGAACAATAAATAAATAAATAGACAATGTTATGTCAACACAAACTAGCAAAAAGGGAGGAGTCTATTAAGTTACACTCATTTGTTCATTCTGAAATCTAAATTATGTTCAGATCTAAACAGACAGCACCCTGGCCTGGCTTGCAACAAAGAATAAGCTTAGCCAAGGAAAAAGATGTGTAATTGTATCAGCATTTCTTTTTTTTATTATTTATTTCAAAGACAGAGAACATGACAATAAGAAACAAGAAACAGCAATCATAAAATCATAGAATCATAGAATAATTAGGGTTGGAAAGGACCTCAAGATCATCAAGTTCCAACCCCCCTGCCATGGGCAGGGACACCTCGCTCTAAACCATATTACCCAAGGCCTCATCCAACCTGGCCTTGAACACTGCCAGGGATGGAGCATTCACAACCTCCCTGGACAACCTATTCCAGTGCCTCACCACCCTAACACAAAATAATTTCCTCCTTATATTGAATCTAAACTTCCCCTGTTTAAGTTTTAACCCATTACCCCTTGTCCTATCACTACAGTCCCTAATGAAAAGTCCATCCCCAGCATCCCTATAGGCCCCCTTCAGATACTGGAAGGCTGCTATGAGGTCTCCACGCAGCCTTCTCTTCTCCAGGATGAACAGCCCCAACTTTCTCAGCCGATCTTCATAAGGGAGGTGCGCCAGTCCCCTGATCATTCTCGTGGCCCTCCTCGGGACTTGTTCCAACAGATCCATGTCTTTTTTATGTTGAGGACACCAGAACTGTACACAGCACTCCAAGTGAGGTCTCACGAGAGCAGAATAAAGGGGCAGGATCACCTCCTTCGACCTGCTGGTCACACTCCTTTTGCTGCAGCCCAGGATACGGTTGGCTTTCTGGGCTGCAAGCGCACACTGAAGCCAGCTCATGTTCATTTTCTCATCGACCAGCACCCCCAAGTCCTTCTCTGCAGGGCTGCTCTGAATCTCTTCTCTGCCCAGCTTGTAGCTCTGCCTGGGATTGCTCCGACCCAGGTGCAGGACCTTGCACTTGGCATGGTTAAACTTCATGAGGTTGGCATCAGCCCACCTCACAAGCGTGTCAAGGTCCCTCTGGATGGCATTCCTTCCCTCAAGAACATACCCAAAAAATACCCAAATGTCTAAAAACGTGTTATAACACACCTTGTTTTGAAGTACATATTCTGAAAATAGAAAAAATACGCAAATTCTCTTGCACCCATTTTAGCCAGCAAGAATGTATCAACACAAATGCATCAGCCATGTCTTTAACACCCTAACTCAGAATCAAGCCAGATACCACAGAACTCAAGCTGGCTTTAAGTCCGCTGTCTTAATTACAAATCTCTTGTAACTTCCTTCAAAAACTGGTAAAACCATCAAAGAAAATAATACATAACCACAGGAAAACAAATATGTAAAGTGAAATCTACTGTCCCGTATACCAACATAACTGACTTCAGTAAGACAACATGTTGAGGGGAAGTACTAAGTAGTAATGTTGTAGAAAAACCCTACCAGCTTTGAAGCTCAAATAAAAGATTTTTCATGCTTGGGTGCTTTCCAACTCTATCTGTTGATTTAATAAAAGTTATCAACTGTTTGATCCCATTTTGGGAATAGGATTTAGAGATGATGCCCTATCACAGCACCAACAGTCTTATGTCTTGAAAATGTAGTTATGCTTCTTCCAGAAACAATGGGGCTTAGAAGTTGTTTGCTTCAAACTGCATATTTAATTTCATAGGAAAATAAACCAAACAATGAGGAAGAAATAACAAGTACTTAATTTCGACTTTCTAGACCTTGGGCTAAGTCTACTGACAGAAATAAGATTTCAAAAATTACACATTTCCTGTATGTGAAGATTTATTAGAGAAGGCTGAGAAAACAGAAGAGCTTTTGTTCCCCTTATGTGCAGAATGGCTGTTCAGAAGTTACAACACCAAGTATTTTGTGCCACATACACACCACCAATCAGAGAAGAACCATCTACAGCTGTATCCTTTCAGCAGCACCTCTTACTATTAAGAAAAGCTGCCCTTGAAAGCTGAAAGAGCTATACTGCTATGTAAGTTTGGAGAAGACTATGAGAAGGCCAGCCAAAGCTTGACTCCATTTGTTCTCCGAATGGAATAAAACTATTAAAATACACTCTATGAAGATTTATGCTGACCATTTACATTTCAGCACTTCATAAACCGTCGAATAATTACCTTGCCATATTGCTGCAAAGGAGCGGTATGGCCAGCATAATCTATGTACTAAGTGGATTTTAATCACTTCACAGGAAATAAGTGGCTAGGGATTTTAACTCTATTGATTATGTAGCAGATAGACACAATTCATCCACCTTCAAAAAAAAACCCCACATATCAGGAAGCGAGCAGTTATTTACAACTGAATAACTGAATTGCTTTTAATTTGTTTTTGTCTAAAGTTGCAGAAAAGCCCGTGTACTGTATCAGACATTCAACTATTGTGCTCGGTCTTCCTAACATCAGTCTAGGGCCATTAGCTATCCTCTGCACCAGTCTGAAAGTAGTGGTACAGTAACGCAAACTCAGTGATTTAAGAAAAAATAAATCTTTTATGTCCACACAGAGGTAAAAACAGCACATGAGAGAAAGTTCCACTGAACAGCAGAAACTGTAACAAATTTGAAACACGACTTTATTCCCCTTACTTGTTTTATACAGGTATGCTAGACAAGAACTTAAGCAAAACCAATTTTAATACTAGAAATCTATGGCTCCAGTTACAGCCACATGGACAGCTTCCAGTCATATTAGGAGAGGACAGATGAGAAATTATGACATATAGAAGAGAGAGCATTAACAGAAAGATTTCATTTCTGGGAAGAAAACAGACTCACTACTTGAAAAATGTGGCCACTGTTGTCATACTAGCTGTTTTTATGGGCAGCTTTTCAGTCCTATTTGTTAACATCAGCTAAGCTTTGTGTGTCTTGTAGAAACCCTTCCTGGTTTATGGCAAAGATTTTGCGTGTTACTTTCTTAGATTTTTTAATATGATTTTGTCTTGAGACAGATGCATGTATTCAGGGGAAAATGATCAGGTGACAGCAGTGGATGCTTTACTTAAATGCACACGATGCTCTGTGTGTCAACAGCTATACAGTAAACTTTCTCCTGAGCAGAACAAAACATTACAGATAATATAGCTCTTTCAAGAGTCCACAGCCAGTCTCCCCAACATCTTCCCCAATTAATATACACAGTTTTTCACCAGATTCATCTGCATCTCGATCACTTCCATACTCCACCCTGCACAAGCAATCAGACTGTAAGATGACGAGAGCCAAAAATTTGGATTCTCAGTCTCCATAAAAGTTTTTGCTCATAAAACTTTTTTAATACTCATATGGAAATAGCCAAAAATGTTACTATGCATTTGACACACATACATTATTTTTTCCCAAAACTGTGCTGCTCCCATCTGTCTGCAAAGCTTTAGACTTACACATGGAGAGTACTTACCGACAGTGTGAGACATTCTGCTTGAGTCTACATGCAGACTGAATATTTAAAACCAAAGACTGAATATTTAAAACCAAAGATTAGTTACACAACAAGCATATAGAAAATGGAGAATTCTTAAGAAGTAATTACAAGAATTTTTTTACCAAAAAATTACCTATGTTAGTAAAAAGCTTAGGGTTGTGCTTCATGCATAAATAAATATATAATCACAGATTTGCTCATCTCCAAACCCCCTTGCAGTGAAACATGCTGCACACCAATACACCTCACATGCTTCTGGCTAAGACACTGCGAACCGAACCCCTAAAACCAGGTGTTGTCAAGCTGGATCACAGCACAGGCAGTGTGTCTCCTAGTGTCAGCATTTATTATGTCAATAAACCATGGTTTCTATGAAATGCCAGAGATTAATTATAACCTGGGCTATAAAGAAATGCGTACAATAGCTAGCTCTTAAAATATATTCTGCAAGCTACATATAATATTGTGATAGTCTTAAGTGTACTGCACTTAAGTACTGCAGCACTTCAAGAAGATTGCCATATATTTAACCTCATTGTCATGCTTGAACTTACCTCTTTTAATATGGACACATCGAGTGCTGTTCTCAGAAGCCATACACAGAATTTAAATTAAACATACACACACATTTGTAAGTTGATATTTATAAAACATCTGATTTATATAATGCTGCAAACTCAGGGAAAGTTTCTTCACTATAAAACACATTAAAGCAAATTGTCTGGGAGCTGAGCATACTGGGAGTTTGAATTTTGAAGTGGGCATCAAAGGCAAATAGACATGGCTCCACTATTGTGTCTGTGTTTTATAAAGGGTAGGGAAAAGAAACATAGTGACCT